TCTCCTTAAGAGGAGAGCGCCATCCTCCCATCCCAGTCACCAGGGCATCCCCGTAGGCAGGCGTGTGAGCAGATGTGCTCTCAGCATCATTCTTGTTTTTTTTTTTTTGTCAAAGACTGGGTGAATATTGGTAGCTTCTTCCTTAAACAAAGTATCTGTATTAAATAAGCAGACTGGCAAAAAATGAAGGAGAAAGTCATAGAGGCTGCCAGTTGAGTTTAATTTGAAGAACCCCACAGAAATTTTTCTTGGATGCTTTCACCTATTGGCCTTCAATAAATGACAAGCACAATGTAGTGAGTTTCCCTGAGTCAGAAATGGTGTAGTGGAAAAAACGAACATGAGCTGTAAAGACCAACCGGATCTGAAATTATCCATTGCTTGGTTTTTGTGTCCCATGAGCACAGTCACTACACCAGCCTTCAAACCTGAGGGCGACAGGTTTGCAAGCCCATGGCCAGTGACTGCTACACAGCAGACAGTCAGTTCCTGGTAGTTGGTGCCACCCTTACTTCTGTGGGAACAGCCTCTGTGGTGGGCAGGGTGGCGGGAGGCCTTTTCCTGACCAGCCCTCCTGCCTGGGGCTCATGTTCTCTTTCCTTACCACAGGTTGGAGCACAGCGAGTGGGACTCTGCCCGGACTCCTATCATTGGCTCCTGTGGCACTCAGGAACAGTCACTGCTAATAGACCTGACAGGCAGTAGCTGTCGCAGGGTAAGGACAGAAGGACAAGGACACAGAGGGTGCACTGCTCTCAAACATGGCCACATGTGGGGAGGGCACTGCAAAGGAAGAGGGAATGTGGAAGCTTCTCAGCCTGTAGAAGCTCAGGGAGGGTGTGGAAGACTGGAAGAAACTGTGATTTGCCAGTCACTTGACCCTGACGAGACTTTTTCCCAGGATGCCTCCTTACTGTGGTGGTAGGATCAGCTTTGCTTATATGCAGTATTACTATGGAAAGGAAAGGGATTTATGCTTGTGGAGTAAAACTCTGACTTTCAGATTTTTCTTTCAGACCCGGAGTGGTGCTGGATGGAAGAGACTCCTGAGGTCACTCTGTCATTCCCGGACCCGAGTACCACTACTAGCAGCCATCTACTTTGTGATGGTTCATGTCCTCCTCATTCTGTGTTTTACGGGCCATTTGTAAATTTAGCTTTCACTTTTTGGACTGTCCCTCCCTCCTCTCTAACATCAGAACTGTCAATTCCAGTGGAATAGTCTTCCCATTGATAGGTCGTTTCTCTGCATTTCCACAGAAAGTGCCTGCAGAAACAGAGGTGGCCATGAGGATAATTGGAGCTGTAGGGCCTGGCCTGCTCTGTTGCCCATGCCCAACAAGTCTACTTATTCTAAGAAGCGTCACAGTTGGGTCCAGTATTTATTTGGATTTTGCTGGTCTGTTTGGTCCTGTAAAATAATGAGATGTCTTTTAGCCATGCCAGTAGGATGATTCCAATAAACCTAATTATCTGAAGCCAAGTATCATTTTGATTGATAAATTTCTTTGCCTCATTTGCCTATGCTTTTTCCTGCCCCAGGGAGGGCAAACATGAACATATCACTTCATAGGATAGGTAATTAGGTCTCTTGTAGTGTGCAGCATGGGAGTTGAAGAACATGTGGTTTTTAGCAGTTGTATCACAGGGGAGAACATTTTCCCTCACTGTCTGAGGGAAGTTTGGAAGGAGCTTGTGGTCCTGGGCTTTAAGAGCTTGTGGATACATAGCAAGGAAGGTATTATGTGACCCATGCCTTTCCTTTGAAAGGAAAGGCAGGAAGAACTGGCTTTGGACAACAAGGTTCAAATTCTTATCATTCCTGTTATCTGGATATACCCAAATGTAGCACAGTGCCAGGGGCCCGCAGAAGCAGGTCCAAGGGAAAGTGTTGACTCCAGCCAGGAGTGGGGCTGGTCTGGTGATCATCTGCAACTCCTGGCTCCCGAAGTCCTAAGGTCCTGTGCTGCTAACAGCAGTTGCTCCGATTTCTCAGCCTCATGGTCATATGCCCTCTGTTACTGAGGAAATGGAAGGAGAACGTAAAGACAAAATATTTCAATCAGACCTGAGAATGGCTGCCAGGGGTGAACTCCATTTGTGATTGCTCTTCACCTCCACTCCCCTCCACCCTGCTCTTACCAGGGGGATGTTCTCTCATTTTCTACATGATGCCCTCCCTGCCTCTTCTTTCCACCTAGAGAAGAGAAAAGGCTGAAGCTCACTGGTCTATAAATCATGTTCTGTAGTGACCAAATCACATTCCAAGACAGTAACAGCCTTCCAAAATCTTTCCTAAGCAACTGTAAAATAATAAAACTTTTCAGAATGCGTTGTGGTGTATGACTGTGTGTACACAGGTGCTTATGTGTGTTTTTACATAAAAGTATGAAGGTGCTGGGTGGAGGGGTTGATGTGCAGGAATGGATATGGGGCAAGAAAGCTTTACAAACTCAGCTTCCTTCTTGCTGACCAACATCAGTAGCAGCTACAGGGCTGGTGAGATGGCTCAGTGGTCTAAAGCACCTACTCAGAACAAGCTAAGCAAAGCACAAGGGACTGCAGTTCAATCCCCCAGCACCACATGCCAGCCAGCCCCGCTCCCTGATGGGCTGAATGGGCCACACACACACAAAATAAATAAATAAATTTAAAAAAATAAAAGTAATTAAAAAAAAAAAAAAAGCTAAATGTGAGGGCCAGGGAGATGGCTCAGTGGAATAAACGCTTCCCTGGCAAGCTCAGGGGCCTGAGTTCAATCCTCAATTAAACAAACAAAAAAAGCAGCTACAAATATCCCTCTAGCCTTCCTTGCTGGACCCCAGGAAGATGAAATATAATGAGGAAATTCCATCCTAACCCTGAATCTAATGAGTCGTGTCTCCAGGTATGAAATCCATGCTGTTTCCAATCCAGTACCAGGAGAGCTTGAGAACGTTGGGTGCTTGGGAATGGAGAAAGAAAGTTTAGCGGCACCTAGCAGGTTAGACAGGAGGTACAACAAGTGAGTTAATGAAACCTGGGCTACATGGTTTCAAAGCCCATATGCACTACCTCATATGGAACACACGGGGCATTTGCAGATAGATGGGGTTTCTTAAATCATTTCTGAGTAATTTTGGTGCTTTCTCTAGAGAACGGTGTTGCTATGTGGTGTGTCAAAATTAACTGGTCTGATAATTCCTATTTTAACACTGGATTAGAATTTCAAATGTACTAAAAGATTCTTTCTACAAATTTCCTCTCCCTTAAAGTAGCTTTAGTGCTACTATGATAAATAGGTAATGAAGTAAGAGAGAACAAATAAAACTGTCCCAAGCAGAGAATCCTTAGATTTGGAAGCAACCTTAGAAACTTTCTGGGCTGGTGAGATAGCTTAGTGGTCTAACGCACCTGCTTAGGCAAAGCACAGGGACTGAGGTTTGATCCCTATGCCACACCAGCCCTGAACCCAGGGCAGGCTGAGCCAGCCACAAAAGAAAAACAAAACATCTTTCTATTTCTAATGCAAAATGTTATCATCCATGGCTCACGAGATAGCTCAGTGATCTAAAGCACCTGCTTAGACAAACTTAGGCAGGTTTAGGAGACCGTGGTTTAATCCCTGGCACCACATGCCCCACCAGCCCCACCCTCAGTGTGGGCTGAGCTGGCCAAAAAAAAAAGTTATCTGCATTGTTGGCTGGTTTTATCCAATCCTACTTTTATCTAGTCCAGGGCCCTAGAGGAGTTCATAACATCTGATCCAATCAGGTCAGAATTCCACAGAAAATCGCAAACATCCCTACCACCACTACCACCAATACAAGGGATTTTTCCGTTAAAGACTTCAAGTTCCTCATAAGATGACTTGTAGGAAAAGTGACAGTTTATATTGTCATCTTTTTCTTTTTAATCATATATATATATGATTAAATATATGGTCTTGCTACGCAGCTTGGACTCATAGTGATCCTCCTGTCTCAGGCTCCCCAGTGCTGGGAGTACAGGAGTGCACCACCACACCCAGTTTCTGTGGCTGGCGGGGCATGGTATGTGGTACCAGGCATTGAACCAGGGTCCTTGTGCTTGCCAGACAGGTGCTTAGACTGTTGTGCTGTCTCCCCAGCCCCTTATGTTGTCATCTTTATCACTCAGCCACAAGCTGCCAAGAGGAGTCACTAGAGAATTGTAGGTTGCCTTGGGGATCACAAAGCTTACAGTGGGTTAGCATGGAACCCACTGTTACAGTGGGATCCAGCTCATCTGCCAAAACAAGTCACCTGAGCAAGTATGACTTGTGGAGAGCAGAGAGAGCCAGTCAGTCTTGATGAGAAGTCCACAGGATACACGAAGACCATCCATCAGATAAGCATCTGCATCTTTTTGGTATGAGGAATCCAACTCGGGGGCCCTGAGCTTGCCAGGCAGGTGTTGCACCGCTGAGATACATCCCCAGCTCAGCCCCTAGTTCTTTCAGACTTTTCACTTCCACATGGAGCCAGTTCTGCCAGTGCGCTCAGACTCCCCAAGTCCCCCCAACAAGCTGGGAATCTTTCTCCAAGTCTTGCTTTGGCCCTAGTGACTCAGTGCTTTTTTTGGACATCAACTATATGTAAACCTTACTTTTAATTGCTGTGGATAATGTGCGGGTGGGTTTGTTTTGAAAAAATCTTGCCCCCCAAAGCCACATGTACTTTTTCCCCACTACACTTTTCTTGATTACTAAAGCTCATGTATACCAAATGCTCTTGATTCCTTAAATATCCCAAGTGCAAATGCCCACCTATTTACAACAAATCCTGTCCTACAGCATGTTCTGAGTCTTGTTTGTTTCTCTGGGTAAAATTACAAATTGAGAGTGAGAACAATATTTTTTTATGACTGCTCCATTACTCTCATAACCTAGCAAAAGACCAAGACAAAAGCATTTAACCCTTTTCACTCAAGTGCCTAAGGCAGAAGGAACTGACTCAAACTTCAGGAAGTTGCTGTGAGGACAGGGTGGCAGGAAATGACAGAAAACCTGAATACGGAACTGAAGCAGCCACTCAGTTTCTTGCTGTGAAGTGGCAGCAGCAGAGAGGCTACCGGGTGTGGACTTGCGGAGCTGGGCGCTTAGAACAAACGCACAGGCTGGAGGTGGGTACTTGCATGGTGGGAGACTTGGGAAGCACAGAGGTAGAAGAGGACCCGATTTGGCGCTTAGCCCTTGGGCAGGGGCAAGGCCATTGCGAGCAGGCTTTTAAGCTTTGCTGATCAGAAGGCCTGCGCACAGTGGTTGTGGAGAACAAGCATCTGAGGATGGATACAAGGGAAGGACCCCAGAAGGCAGGCTTCAGAAGCCATCTAGGACCACAGTTCCATCAAAGTGTTCCTGGCTTCAGACAACCTGCAGTCTGCTTTAGGGGCTGCTGCCCCTCCACACTGAGTTGGAACAGAACCACAGGAGATGGAGTGAGGCATCCCTTGAGGAGAAGTGTAGGGTCTAGCAGGGAGGCAGATGTACTAGGAAGTGTAAGAGAGCAGGAAGTAGTCACTTATCTACACCAATGCTGAGAACCACTGCCGGTGGGGGTCAAGGCCAGGCAGGATTGTGAAGCTGGGCTTCCGTGAGTGTAAGATCACCAAACCCAAGTGTTAGAAGTGGGGAGGACTTACTTCACAGATCAGCAAGGGTGACCAACCCCTTCATTTATTTTCCACTGAGAAAATCAGAAGTAATCAATGATTTACCAGATTTTTAAAAGTTAATGTGAATAACCTCATCTGGTCCCCTTCAGGGGAAAAACATGCTCTGTGTGGACTTCATTACCATGGTCCACAGAGGCCTGGTCACAGAACTCGGGCGTTGCCAGCTCTCTCCCACCTCTGCGCTTTGCTGCTAATGCAGGTCAGCCTTATGCCTGGCAGCCGGGCACCATGCCTCACTAGCTCTCTAGGCTTTCACTTCTGGACCACAGCCTTGTCGTCTTGCCTTGATCTGTAGGCAAAAGATATTTTAAGTTATCTTTTTGTCAGGAGCTCTTCTTCATTTCACAAACGGATGAGGGTAAGAGGTTGATAGGAAAATGAGGCTGAGCAGCAGGAAAGATGAGACTGCATCCCCACTGCTTCCCTATTGCTCATGAATACTTCAGACTTCTCCTTTCAAACTTTCTGTGCGAGGTCCTTTTGTTGCAGAGCAGCCCTAAAGCACGGATGTGAGAATCAGGGAGGATAAGAATGCAGGATTACAGGTCTTGTGTACCTGTCCCCACCCTTCACCCATAGCTTGCTCCAGCAGGAAGGCGGTGTGGCTCTGGGGCTAGGCTGACTGTCCACATTTCTTCACTGTGCCCTCTGGCACCTTGTTAGCCAATCTGTTCTGACTCTGCCTTGGGCTAGATTTCAAGCTAATAGTCGAACAGAGCAGAAGAGGATGGATTTTCCAAGTAGAAACAGAAACAGTAAACTGTGGGCCTAGGTAGAGACAGGACAGCCCTAGGATTGGCCATAAAGGGTCTCCTTTAGGAGACAGCGGAGAAGAGGGGTAGGCCTCCAGGGCGAGGAACTGTCTGAACAGGGAGGGATGGTCAGAGTTAGCAGCTAGCACCCAGGCCAGCTGAGCAAGTGAACATTGTCCTTTGTTACCTCCTTACTTTAAGATCCAGGAGCCCAGAGATACAGAGAACTGCTAGGCAGCTCCCAGGCCCAAGTGGCAAGGCCAGAGGGAAGGCTGGGGTAGCCTCAGTAGAATAACAGTGTGAGAACTTTTTCATATTCTGAACATTTCTTTAATGCTTATTTGATGGATAAATATCAAATACCTCCTGAAGTTTAAAATAAAGGCTGTATTACAGCTCTTTTGGAACCAGTTATTGTTTTTAGAAATATAATTTAACTGCTTTTTAAATTGACTTATTATCAGAAAAGTTTTCTTATTGTTCAGTGTAGGAATTTCAGCTGGTTGTCTCCAATGACCACCCATATCTGCAGTGGCCAGTATCAGAGTGGCAATGGGACAGCACTTCCAGTGAGCGTTGGGGAAATTCCCAATATAGTGAAGTAGGTCATGTACAGGAAGGAGATGTTTGCTTTGTCACGAGTGGGACCCCTTTTTATTTCTATGGCTATGAAAGAAGTCTTCTATGTAGAAATCTGAGTAAAAGGCATTAAAACTCTGTTGGCTGTTGCAGCACCTCTCACTGGTGCTACCACAGCAAACCACTGCCTGACTGACCTCTGGATACAACTGAATAGTGCCAACAGCTTCAGCATCTAGGTTATTCAGTCTTACCTACAGCTATGAACACTTCTCTCCAGATCAGGTGGGCCCCAGTCATGTATGTCTTACATCAGCCTCATCCCCTTCTCCTCTGATGCTTTTCTAAAACTTCCACCTGCTATTTCTCATTTCTATCTTCTAAGAAAAAAGTGGTAGGAAACATTGGGTTGTTGTGTCATTGACTTCAGCAACCCTGTCCTTTCTTCTTCTTTCTTTTTGTCTCCTATGACTGCTGTCGTCTGTTACCCTCAGATGTGGAAGTCTGTGGTGGGCCATGATGTATCTGTTTCCGTGGAGACACCGGGAGATGACTGGGACACAGACCCTGACTTTGTGGTAAGTTTGGAAGTAGCTTTTCTTGGACAGTTGCGGGGGGGGGGGGGGGATTTGGGTCCCTCTGTGCCCTGTGAGGGGTCTGAGAAAAGGACCAGCTGGGGCTGAGACAGCCCTTGTGGAGAGATGAGTCTGAGACGGTTAGCTCTCGTGCTGGGACATGTATGGTATCTGTGTTGAGGGTGCGAGGACCAAGTGTGGATGGATCTGGCAGTGTGACTGACATGCTATGAGAGGCTATCCTGAAGTTGACAGCAAACGAATCTAGGTCTCCTTGGGCCTGTGATCTAAGGCTTGGTTCCAGTGTTAGTGTATGTGTGCCAAAGGGAGCATGTGTGATCTGAGATTTAGGCTGCATGTGTGTGATCTTGTTGCAAAGTGTGGAGAATACAGAGTAGTAATGGAGGTTTCAGAACTCACCAGTTCAACTTTTACATGGGATCAGAGTGCAAAGACTCTGCCCAATGCAGGGCACACAGAGGCCATGGTTGTTGGTTATATCACCCTCTCAGTGTGGCATACTTCTTGTTGTGTGCTGTCTTTTGTAGAATGACATCTCTGAGAAGGAGCAACGGTGGGGAGCCAAGACCATTGAAGGCTCTGGACGCACAGAGCACATCAAGTAGGTGTCAGAGGGACTAGGGCCAGGGCATTTGAGGAACACAGAGAAAACAGAGACTGAGGAAAGTATGTGGAAGAAGAAAGAGTGGTGGTTGATGCCTGTGGGTTTGTTTTTTGTTTTTTGTTTTTTTTTTCTAAAGCTTGTTTCCATGGGCCCCTATGTGTTTATTATGTATTCCTATGTCATGTCTTCCTCCTCTTCACCCTCTAACTGCATTATCTGTCTTTTATAGCTAACAACTCTGTTGTTTCCCCACGGGAGTATGCGTAGTAACTGCCTCTCTTTCTTCAGTCAGTCATGACAGCGTCAGAGAGCAAGTGGCTCAAATGCTAAGGCTGTGTCTGTCCACCTACCTATCTTACCGTCTATCAGTCCCATGTCGAGCTACCATCCACTGGTCTCTGCACACAAGTACAAATATCTGCTTAGAATGTTGAGTGACTTCCAGTAAAATGTCATGGGGAAGAACTCATAATAAATGCTGCAAAGGGGACAATATCAGCTGTCACACTTGGCCCAAATGATTTAAAATGCAAATTTGTACTTGGCTGCTTTGTAGAAGTTGAAAGACATTATGTATAACATTCGGAAAATCTGATGATTAAAATTATATAAGCAGTGATGTTTAGGGATTGTATCCCAGGGTTTATCTTGCCAGAAACGCCCTCTGGTACTAAAGAGAGGAGGAACTCACTAACTTATGTAGGATTTTCTGTGGGGTTGTGTATTTAGATTGAGATCGCCTCTTCTCTTCCATGGATTATTGAACTCACCTAACCACGACTGCTTTGGGTGTTATGAGAAGGTCAAATGATAGTAGCAATACAAACACAATAAATAGTATAACAAGAGCTGGGCTTAGGCAAGTGCAGGGACTGCAGTTCTATTCCCAGCACCATATGTCACATCAACCCCACCCCCAAAGCGGGCTGAGCTGGCCACAAAAAAAAAAAAAATAGTATAACAAGAGGAACAAAAAGTAAAAAATCAACAACTACACACTAAGTGGCAAAAAGAATGCAGTCTTAAGCTCCATTTTAATGCGTGCGCGCGCGCACACACACACACACACACACACACACAGAGCAATAGCTTAATCTCCTTACAAAAAGTATCAGTGGATGGCCACATGGCATAAGCAGCACACTAACAAAGCTGGGCATATGTTTGTGCAGTTTGAAAATATTCAGTACTGTGCATGATTGCTTAATCAAGCATAATGGATTTGAATTAAATGTCTATAATAAAAATTATTCTTAAATAACCAAGCAATTTTGAAAGCACTTGGGGTAGCTACAACAATAACAACAAAACAGAATGGAATCTCTTAAGAAGTTGTTTTGATACTCACTGATTTGTAGGCTCATAGATTTTTTTTAAGGGCATTTTTCCTTTGTTGAGGAAAGGCCAGTCAGCCTAGAGTCCTGGAAACTGCTGGGATGAAGATGTACATTGTACACTCTCTCCCAGTAGCACCTCTTGCATGGTACATAGCAGTAGAACATTTTTCAAAAGATTTCTGTGTCCTGCCATGAACACATAGAGGAGTTTATGTTTTTGTATCAGATATATTTAGGTTCACTCACAGCAACTTCTAATTACATGAACATAGATGCAGAAACTCTGCAACTCAGCTTAGTTCTCAATGGAAATTAGAACAGCTACCCTGCAGATTCAGATTCAAGATTAGAACTCAATAAAATGTTATAGGTCACTATCTCCTGTAGGCTTAGCACTTGGCTGTTCAGTGATGTTATCTACCTTTCCTGTGAATATAGATTAGTTTAGACTTTCCTTCTAAAAGCTAATACAAACATGAAAACAGATGCTGGGTCTTTCTTCTTCCTACATGGTGTTTACATGGACCAGCCTGTGGCAAACCTCCCCTTGTACATCACTTTGACTAGTGTCCCTAAGGTTGTATAAGGTGGTAACCCTGTATGGCTCTTTGTAAACCTAACTGGACCTGTAGTCACTGGAATAAATGTTGAAGGGAGTTTCACAAAATCTTATTCTCCTGCCATTTACTGAAGCCTGATCTTGGCTGGTTTCAGGCCAGACCACCTTTGACAAGTCTTTCATCCTCCTATCTATCTATCTATCTATCTATCTATCTATCTATCTATCCAATCTCAAGAGAGTAGTCCAGTATTAAGTCTCTAATCTCCTGGGTTCTCTCTAGCTACTGTCGGCTAAGCCAACCTTCATGGTTGGATGGGAATCACTAAGGCCCTTGAAGCAAAAAGGGAAGTCAGAGAAGATGGTATGGTGGTTGCCGAGCTGAGCTGGCTTGAAGCAGGAAAAGGAAGTGACACATTCTCACTGATCTTGCTACGCACCCTTCCCCTCAACACACAGTGCAGTTTCTTTTTAGGTCTGTCCGGAATAAATGTAGTGTAGACTGCATGGCTGGGAAAGGGATGTAGGCATGCGGGGAAATGAGAGGGAGGGGAGGAGAAGTGGAGCAGCAAGTACATATCCCTTGCTCAGCCACTGCACACAGAACCAAATGCCTGAGGCGGCAGGGGGTAGTCCCTCTCTCTACTTTCCTCTCTCCACCCCTGCTCATTCATTTTCTTTGGCATCCTCCCTTATAAAGATAAAAGACTAAAGAAACTTATTACTCTCTGACAATACTTACAAAGCTCTCTGGGAAAGGACAGGGACTTGTGTTTGTTCATTTTCAAATCTGCCAGACTGATACTTCTGTAAAAATAAAGTAAAATCAAATTTCTGGAAAAAATAAATGAAAGAAAAAGAATAGGAAATATGTACATGGTTTTTATTTTTAGATTCAGCAGATGTAAGATCATTATGTCAAGTTGTCATAAAAGTTTCAACACATGTAACCTCAAGTTTTTCCCTCATTTCATTGTAGAGAACAGTCGAAGGAGGCATTTTTTTTTCCCCAATCTTGGGAACATTTTATTTGGAAATATTTTGAGCATTATTTTAATCTTCATTTTCCATTAAGGCAGTAACATTCTTTTTCCTGAAGGCAGATGCGAGACAATCGTCCAGGGCTAGATGAAGTTCAGACTAAAGTCAAAGCTAATGCCTTTGCATTCAGATGCAGAAATGCTGGTTATAAACTGAAAGGAGCCACATATATTAGCTTCCTGAGCCCACTGCCAAGGAACAGATCCTGGGTGATGCATTGCAATTGCTTTAAAAAATGGCTAAGTTCCATTAGATAGGATCCCTAGGGAACATACCGCATTAAAGAGCCCATTGACCATGATACAGGGAGTCTAATTTTGGCTACCAAAGCTCTGTTGCTTTTTTAACCTTTGGTACATTCTTCTAGTTTTGCTTAAAATTCTTTAAATGTTGAGGTGACTGGCTCTTCCTAAAGCAACAAAGGCAGTTCTTATCCAGGATCTATTCATTCTCCCCTTGACTTCTGGCCAGCGGTATGTGGGGATGGGAGGAATGCTGTCTATGGGCATGTACTACCCCCTGAAGCAGAGGGGTGGTGAAATGCTTTTGCAGTACCAAAAAAGGTAAACATTGATCACAGGCCCTGGCAGCGATATGCTTAAATCAAAGAGCAAATGAAAGCTGAGCAGGACTGCTTCCAAATATCACCAGATATTTAGCCATAAATAATTACATCTAACGAGCAGGGCTAAATACAAAGTACAGTATGCAGACAGGCAGCACCACAAAGGACAGATGCTTAGGGATAGCTCTACACTGCCTCTTAGTGGCCTTCTTTTCCATCACACCTTGCCATCTTCCTGAGTACCTAATCTAGCTGAGGTTATTCAAGGTGCTAGGTCTAAATCTAAATTCTAGATTTTTTTTTTTTTAAAGAGGCTTCTTGGGCTGGGAAGACAGCTCAATAGAATAAGGGCTTGCTTGGTAAGTGCAAGGGCCTGAGTTCAATCCTCAGTTCCAACAAAAGGGGGAGGGGACTTCTTAATGGACAAAAAAGTAAAAACTGATGACATTTGGGACATTGTTTCTAAGGAAAGGCTCTGGTGCTGAGTTTACTTCTATAGCCATCAGAAATTCCTGGCTCCTCAACAGCCTGCCTGACTTGTCAGAATTTACCAGGTGGCCAAGGAGGACCCCAGGGAAAGGTTTGCCACAGAGCAGGTGTTGAGAGGGAGCGGGGCAAAGTCACGGGGGGACAAGGCACTGGGAGAAATGGTGGAAGGAGGATTGTGAAAGATTAATTATTGATCTCAATGAACAGGTGGCAGGACAGGCACATGGTCCCCTCTTTCTGGTCCTTACATTTAATAAAGAAAAAAGGTAGCCAGATACAACCGCTGTGAAAGAATAAGTCAAAAATTAACACTGCAGTTTCTATCCTAACTGCAAAAGCAGAAAAAGTTCCTGGAAAATAACCTTTTAAATTTTTGTTTAGATTTTCTTTTCTTTTTTTTTAATTTTTATTTATTTATTTGAGAGAGAGAGAGAGAGAGAGAGAGAGAGAGAGAGAGAGAGAGAGAGAGGCCAGCTCAGCCCACCAGGGGGCAGGGCTGGCTGGCATGTGGTGCTGGGGGATTGAACCGCGGTCCCTGATGCTTTTGCTAAGCTTGTTCTAAGTAGGTGCTTTAGACCACTGAGCCATCTCTCCAGCCCTTAGATTTTCAAAGAAGAAAAAAAATAAGAATAACAAATACTTACAGGAGGTGAGGTCTTCTGCAAAAATAAAAGTAAATTCTGTTAATCTCAGGAGAGGCTAGGGACTTGGTGAATGTGCACCCCTTGGAGTGCTGAATAATGTCACCAACTTGCAAACTTTGGAATGGCTTGAATGGTCGTCATCCATCCTGAGAGCATCCCATATACGGCCTCAGGACTGAGTGTGTTGAAGGCTAGCCTGCCCCACTGGGTGTAATGCCCTCTTCATCCCTTTCCCCATGAGGCAAGCAAACACTGCCATGACCATTTTGGGGTTCACTTCAACCAGGTCTTCTGGAAGGGCATACACTGTAGCTCCAATTTTTCTGGCCATAGAGATGGTGTATTTTGCATTGTTGAGTTTC